GAAAATCGGTTTTTTTCTATCTTGCATGACCTTAGTCGATCCTTACAGCCGAAGTGCCCTTAAAGGCACAAAGGTCTTCTGGAGAAGCAGCCCAAATTCACTTTAAGAGGAAGAATAAAGTTTTTTTCACTCTTTATTAACGCTAGTTTGTCTCGTTATCTGGAGAGAAATATGATGGCAATAAACGTTATTTTCAAGTTTTGCGACAAGAAAGAAAGAAAAAGAAAACAAAGTTGTTTAAAATGGAGCATCAAGGTCACAAAATGTCAATCATGTTTTTCTTTAAGAGTATCTTTTACAGAATACTCAGTGGTATTAAATATCTTTGTCATTAGTAACAAAGTAGAGATTGGAACAACATTTGTCTTCGTATTGCTTCGTCGCATTCGCTGAAGGCAATTTTCATTCTTGATCTCGGTTACTCTTGTCATGTGTTTTGTCTTTTCCAGGTCTTCCCTCGTCTTTTCTTTTTCCGGGGATGGTAGGGCCGTTGTAGCCTGTGGAGAGGTTAATACCATACTTTTTTTAACTTTCATGCAATTTCCTGCGTTTTAATATATTTAATATCAAGAATAATTTTAGCATAATTTTCCCTTCATGGGTTTTGTTTTCTTTGAGTCTCTCATTGGTGGTTTGTGATGTCATGGAAAAGTCGAGAAATTAAATTTAAGATGGTGGCTTTTCGGGGAATGATGGTCCATTTTCAGGTCATACGACGTAAGCGTGTCACGTTTAAGATGTAAGCGTGTCACGTTGAAGACATCAAAGGATATAATTTTGAACATAGTTTACCCATCACAGATTTCGTCAAAAATCGCGATTACTTTATAAAACAAATGTCAAGGACGTCACTAAAGATCAATAGATCATAAGTAAGAACCAATCAAAATGCGAGACTATTATATAATCTTTCTTAAGATTTTCACAGTATGCCTAACTGGAATATATTGGTAGTTCCTAAAGCTTACAGCTGTGATGACAGCGTGTTAATGCTATACTTGAATGTTTCAGTCATCGCCCTTACCTGGTGTATTACACCGATCACTGGTGCAAAGAGTCCTTCTACATCTGCGATCTTCGTAGCCTTTGCTTTCGTACTCTTCGCTAAATTGTTCACAGATTATATCTATATCACCGCGCCTTCTAGTGCCGCAATCCCTGTCAATTACGTCATCGTGATTACTGGATGATAGAGTCATCATCTGGCACTTGTCAGGGCAATTCACGACTTCAAGCCTGCCTTTGTAGCACTCGATACTGTTCACTTGCGGAATGACCACAAGAAAGCCGCACAGAAGCCAAACGCACTGTGTGAAAAAACGAGAAAAAACCACAGAGCCAAGATCAAATCACAGGAAACAAGAAATGATAGCTTTAGCTATAGTGGTGCGGTCCTTTGGAACAGGCTATCTAAAGTGCGGCTTGCTGTTTCAACCATGTTGAAATAGAAGCATAACTTAGTTGCTACTCAGCATACGTGTAGTTAAAAAACACCACGACTCGTGGGGGCCAAACCACCCCCCAAATGTTTCGTCAGTTCTTGGGTATTTCACATTATTTCACATTACTTAAAAAGTATTGACTCTTTGTACACCAAACTTGGCAGATGAGCAGGAGACCTATTGCCAATTATATTTATGTGAAAAATGTCAGTAAATGTCAAAGTTGTGACGTCACAGTGATGACGTCATGTTTTTTGCGCCACTTTTGAAGTTTTTAATATGCAGATTTTTTACAATGTGTTCGAAAGAGCACATCAAGGGGAGTTGAAACCTGAAAAAATTTTGTCACATCACAAAAATTAAATGAAATATGGTATTTTTAAATATGAAAAATAACTCTGCAAAATATGGGG